AAGGACCCAGAGTCTGGAGGAAGAATGGAGAGGCACACACTGCAGGATGCTTGAAGTCCAGTGTGAAGTTTACACAGTCTGTGTTGATTTGGGGAGCCATGTCATCTGCTGGTGTTTCATTAAGTCCAGGGTCAACGCAGCCGTCTACCAGGAGATTTTGGAGCACTTCATGCTTCCTTCCACAGACGAGCTTTATGGGGATGCTGACTTCATTTTCCAGCAGGACTTGGCACCTGCCCACACTGCCAAAAGCACCAAAGCCTGGTTCAATGACCGTGGGATTACTGTGCTTGATTGGCCAGCAAACTCGCCTGACCTGAACCCCATAGAGAATCTATGGGGCATTGCCAAGAGAAAGACGAGAGACATGAGACCGAACAATGCAGAAGAGCTGAAGGCTGCTGTTGAAGCATCCTGGTCTTCCATAACACCTCAGCAGTGCCACAGATAGTGCCACAGGCAGTAATTGTAGCAAAAGGGGCCCAAACCAAGTATTGAGTCCATATGCATGCTTAAACTTTTCAGAGGTCCGATATTGTTCTATGTACACTCCTTGTTTTATTGATTGCATGTAATATTCTAATTTACTGAGATTGTGGATTTGGGGTTTTCATGAGCTGTAAGCCATAATCATCGCACTTATGACAAGTCACGGCTTGAACTATCTTGCTTTGCATGTAATGCGTCTATCTCAAATATTAGTTTCCCCTTTTACGTTGCATTACTGAAATAAATGAAGTTTTGCACGATATTCTAATTTTTCAAGTATCACCTGTAATTACAGAAAGGGTATAGTTAAAGGATCAAATGATATTACAATCTATGAGTATTTCAGGTAGGTGGGTGTATATCGTTAGACATGTGCAAGCGAACATTTAGCCATGGTAAGTGGAGATTTACCCCTGGTGAGCTCCAGGCTTGCAGGGGCAAGGGATTTTTAAAGCATGGCTAGTAGCACAGGGCTTACATTTTAAGCCCTGTCATTAGTTGTCTTGCTCTGTGGTCTGACTGCGATTTAAACCTGAGTATCCCAGGTGTGGCTGCTGTGAGTTTTGTCACATTACTCCAAAATGATTTGATATAAAAAGTGGGATGGCGCCAATACTTATGCACTGTAATCAGTACACTGTGATGCAATAATATACTTAGCTCTGACAGTAAATCGAGCTGTGATAATAAATCGAGCTGTAATAATACCCAGAGCTGTAATAATACCCAGAGCTGTAAACATACAATCAGCTGTGATAATACTCTAATAATATACAGAGCTATAATAATAACCAGAGCTGTAATATCACAATGAGCTGTAATAATACACCAAGCTGTAATAATTAACCGAGCTGTAATAATAAAATGAGTTGTAATAATATACTGAGCTGTAATAATACCCAGAGCTGTAATAATAAACCAAGCTGTAATAATACACCGAGCTGTAATAATTAACCGAGCTGTAATAATACAATGAGGTGTAATAATATACCGTACATAGCTCTGTGATAATACATCGAGCTGTAATAATACAATGAGCTGTAATAATATATATAGCTCTGTGATAATACAATGAGCTGTAATAATATATATAGCTCTGTGTTAATACATCGAGCTGTAATAATACAATGAGCTGTAATAATATACAGTTGCAAGAAAAAGTATGTGAACCCTTTGGAGTGATATGGATTTCTGCACAAATTGGTCATAAAATGTGATCTGATCATCATCTAAGTCACAACAATAGACAATCACAGTCTGCTTAAACTAATAACACACAAAGAATGAAATGTTGCCATGTTTTTATTGAACACACCATGTAAACATTCACAGTGCAGGTGGAAAAAGTATGTGAACCCTTGGATTTAATAACTGGATGAACCTCCTTTGGCAGCAATAACTTCAACCAAACGTTTCCTGTAGTTGCAGATCAGACGCGCACAACGGTCAGGAGTAATTCTTGACCGTTCCTCTTTACAGAACTGTTTCAGTTCAGCAATATTCTTGGGATGTCTGGTGTGAATCGCTTTATTGAGGTCATGCCAGAGCATCTCAATCAGGTTGAGGTCGGGACTCTGACTGGGCCACTTCAGAAGGCGTATTTTCTTCTGTTTAAGCCATTATGTTGTTGATTTACTTCTATGCTTTGGGTCATTGTCCTGTTGCAACACCCATCTTCTGTTGAGCTTCAGCTGGTAGACAGATGGCCTTAAGTTCTCCTGCAAAATCTCTTGATAAACTTGGGAATTCATTTTTCCTTCAATGATAGCAATCCGTACAGACCCTGATGCAGCAAAGCAGCCCCAAACCATGATGCACCCACCACCATACTTCACAGTTGGGATGAGGTTTTGATGTTGGTGTGCTGTGCCTTTTTTTCGACACACATAGTGTTGTGTGTTTCTTCCAAACAACTCAACTTTGGTTTCATCTGTCCACAGAATATTTTGCCAGTACTGCTGTGGAACATCCAGGTGCTCTTTTGCAAACTGTAAACGTGCAGCAATGTTTTGTTTGGACAGCAGTGGCTTCCTCTGTGGTATCCTCCCATGAAATCCATTCTTGTTTAGTGTTTTACGAATTGTAGATTCGCTAACAGGGATGTTAGCATTTGCCAGTGACTTTTGTAAGTCTTTAGCTGACACTCTAGGATTCTTCTTCACCTTATTGAGCAGTCTGCGCTGTGCTCTTGCAGTCATCTTTACAGGATGGCCACTCCTAGGGAGAGTAGCAGCAGTGCTGAACTTTCTCCATTTATAGACAATTTGTCTTACCGTGGACTGATGAACAGCAAGGCTTTTGGAGATACTTTTTATAACCCTTTCCAGCTTTATGCAAGTCAACAATTCTTAATCGTAGGTCTTCTGAGAGCTCTTTTGTGCGAGGCATCATTCACATCAGGCAATGCTTCTTGTGAAAAGAAAACCCAGAACTGGTGTGTGTTTTTTATAGGGCAGGGCAGCTGTAACCAACACCTCCAATCTCATCTCATTGACTGGACTCCAGTTGGCTGACACCTCACTCCAATTAGCTCTTGGAGATGTCATTAGTCTAGGGGTTCACATACTTTTTCCACATGCACTGTGAATGTTTACATGGTGTGTTCAATAAAAACATGGCAACATTTCATTCTTTTTGTGTTTTTAGTTTAAGCAGACTGTGATTGTCTATTGTTGTGACTTAGATGATGATCAAATCACATTTTTTGACCAATTTGTGCAGAAATTCATACCATTCCAAAGGGTTCACATACTTTTTCTTGCAACTGTATATAGCTCTGTGATAATACATCGAGCTGTAATAATACAATGAGCTGTAATAATATATATAGCTCTGTGTTAATACATCGAGCTGTAATAATACAATGAGGTGTAATAATATACATAGCTCTGTGATAATACATCGAGCTGTAATAATACAATGAGCTGTAATAATATATATAGCTCTGTGATAATACATCGAGCTGTAGTAATACAATGAGCTGTAATAATATATATAGCTCTGTGATAATACATCAAGCTGTAGTAATACAATGAGTTGTAAAAATATATATAGCTCTGTGAAAGTACATCGAGCTGTAGTAATACAATGAGCTGTAATTATATATATAGCTCTGTGATAATACATCGAGCTGTAGTAATACAATGAGTTGTAATAATATATATAGCTCTGTGAAAGTACATCGAGCTGTAGTAATACAATGAGCTGTAATTATATATATAGCTCTGTGATAATACATCGAGCTGTAGTAATACAATGAGTTGTAATAATATATATAGCTCTGTGAAAGTACATCGAGCTGTAGTAATACAATGAGCTGTAATTATATATATAGCTCTGTGATAATACATCGAGCTGTAGTAATACAATGAGTTGTAATAATATATATAGCTCTGTGAAAGTACATCGAGCTGTAGTAATACAATGTGCTGTAATTATATATATAGCTCTGTGATAATACATCGAGCTGTAGTAATACAATGAGTTGTAATAATATATATAGCTCTGTGATAATACATCGAGCTGTAGTAATACAATGAGCTGTTATAATATATATAGCTCTGTGATAATACATCGAGCTGTAGTAATACAATGAGCTGTAATAATATATATCGCTCTGTGATAATACATTGAGCTGTAATAATACAATGAGCTTTAATAGTATACAAAGCTCTCTGATAATACAATGAGCTGTAATAATATATATAGCTCTGTGTTAATACATCGAGCTGTAGTAATACAATGAGCTGTAATAATATATATAGCTCTGTGTTAATACATCGAGCTGTAGTAATAGAATGAGTTGTAATAATATATATAGCTCTGTGATAATACATCGAGCTGTAGTAATAGAATGAGTTGTAATAATATATATAGCTCTGTGATAATACAATGAGCTGTAATAATATATATAGCTCTGTGATAATAGATTGAACGGTAATAATACAATGAGCTTTAATAGTATACATAGCTCTGTAGTAATACAATGAGTTGTAATAATATATATAGCTCTGTGATAATACATCGAGCTGTAGTAATACAATGAGCTGTAATAATATATATAGCTCTGTGATAATACATTGAGCTGTAATAATACAATGAGCTTTAATAGTATACATAGCTCTGTGATAATACAATGAGCTGTAATAATATATATAGCTCTGTGTTAATACATCGAGCTGTGGGGGGCGGGGCCTGCTAACCGACCAGACCAGACGCCATTCTTGAAAGCTCCTCCAAAAACGACTTGAAACCCGCCAATATCCGACCAACAAAGCCCCATCCGACCACAAAAACGCTCCAGCTGACCTGCCTAACCGGAGCCGCACCGATAGATGCCGTTTTTATACACGGCGAAACACTCCAAGCCGCGGCGCAGGTCTGCGGCCTACTACGCGCCGACGATCCCGGGCCTGGACGCTCTCCTGCGCGGTAGCTACACTCTGAGCCCGCCAGGCACTGAGCCTCACGCCACACAAGCCACCCAAAACTCCATGCCTGCAATGGGACGCCGGTCACAAAAACCGAACTCCACGGCAGACGGCAGGGACATAGGAGACATGCTGAGGCAACCTACACAACCCAAAACGCTCCGCACAGAGGATCAAGGGGCAAGCACCCTGGCGCAGAGGGAGAAAGAACCCACGCTACTCACACAGGCAAGTCTCATAAACTCCATTGAGACCTCTGACGGGTCGGCCCCCACCACCAAAAATGACTTGAAAAACCTGCTTGCTGACATACACAGATTATGGGCAGCAGACCTAAAACTGTTGAGAAACGACATACAAACTATCACAGACCGGGTGCAAACCGCTGAGGAGGATATCCTTGACGCCAGATCAGACATAAAAACTATTAAAGAGACAGTGCACCAACTACAAGAACATCACTCACACTTCTCCCTGCAACTCACGGCCCTAGAAGACAAACAGCGCCGAAATCACATAAAAATACGTGGAATCCCTGATGAAGTTACAGCTGAGGAGCTCCCACACTATCTCCGCAGGTTACTATCCACCATATTACCCCACGCTACCGCCAAAACGATAATCATAGATGGGGTGCATCGCATCAATAGCTCTGCCAAGTTGACACCCGGTGTGGCAAGGGACGTCATCCTTAGATGCCTAACCTTCCAAGACAAAACCCGAATAATGACAGCCTTGAGAAACAAAACGCCTCTGACCTTTGAGGGTTCCTCCTTGTCTTTTTTTCAAGATCTCACTAAAAGCACACTACTCTGGCGCAAATCAATGGGAACTGTCACCTCACAATTGAGAAACGCAAACATCATCTACCGCTGGGGAGCCCCGGGGTCCCTGATAGTACCCCACAATGGAACTAACCACACCATCACCTCTGTAGAAGGGGCACCAGCGCTCATGAAAGCTTTGGGACTGGTAGGGCAGAACAGGGGACAGCACTCTAACACTGCCGCTGGAAACTGGGACCTAGACCGCATCACCCCCTTCGTCCCAAGGAACGACACCTCGCAAGCTACTACCACCTGAACGCACCCGAGTCCGGACATGGAGAACTGTTGATAAATTGTTTAAATTTGTTTTCTCACTTCTCTCTCCTCTATTCTTACATATATACCATGTTTGTGTAGAATGCATAGCAATTGGAGACGACTAATAGTGAATTGGCCCGTAGCCTGAAGTGAATTGGCCCGTAGACTTCTCACCCCCCCCGCTACCCCCTTAGGTTAGGGGTACTTTATAGGAACGGAGGTACAACCCCATAAGTGGGGCGATCTAACACCACTACGTCACACCTGATATTCCCAACCTCAGGCCACCAGACAATCTTTAGAATATGCCCGGGGTGAACACGTACAATCCTCCGTAAGCTAAAATATGCTGACCCCATTCTAGCCCACTAGATACAGTATCTCGAGCATATTAATACCTAAAGCTCGGGAACACCTGAGAGCTCCCACCCATACAACTACCCCCTTATCCAGTCGCCCCTCTCAGACACATCCCGAAAGTTGAAACTTGTTGCATTATGGAAAAAAATAAAAAATTGGTGCCACAGTAAAAAAAAAAAAAATACATCGAGCTGTAGTAATACAATGAGCTGTAATAATATATATAGCTCTGTGTTAATACATCGAGCTGTAGTAATAGAATGAGCTGTAATAATATATATAGCTCTGTGATAATACATCGAGCTGTAGTAATAGAATGAGTTGTAATAATATATATAGCTCTGTGATAATACAATGAGCTGTAATAATATATATAGCTCTGTGATAATAGATTGAACTGTAATAATACAATGAGCTGTAATAATATACATAGCTCTGTGTTAATACATCGAGCTGTAGTAATAGAATGAGTTGTAATAATATAGCAAGCTCTAATTATACACAAGCTGTTGTGATTAAGGTGAACACAGCTCCCCTATAAGCAGTAAATTAGACTTTACCAAATACACCGCATTAAACCTCAGAGATGAACCAGTTTGAATTCCCTTAAATCCCAGGCGGTAATCATAAAACATACATTTCTTACCGTTGGTCCCAACATTCTCAGTATTTACTTATCGGTATTAACAGCTAAGGAGTTATTCCACACAATCGCAATGAACTGTCAAAAACCACAAACCACTTGCTTTGTTTTAACCTAAATGTCAACACTAATAAGACAGAATTTTATATCAATGAGCGCATTCATGACCAACTCAAACCAGCACAGTAACCACAGAAGTATTGAGGCTAACTTCAGGAAAGCCATCTAAATCCAGCTCTCCCATATCAACCCTCGGCAGACAGAACACATTGAAACATGACAGCTAACCCTCAGCGAAACCACACTTAGAATCAACAGCCAAATTATCACTGAGAGCTCTGTGGGTGAAATGCCATATGGAATGTTTGTTGGACCAAGATTAACATTTCAATAAGCTATAATTATGCAGTTGCCTGAATTTGTAGTAAAGTGTACAGTGCAGGCTATGAAATGGCGAAAGGTTGAGAACATTTTCTTGGTGCACACTACAACATGTAATGACAAACAGGCATTTTTTGAAACCCATATTGCAAGCTCTCTACTGCTGCTGACCATTGGCATGACTTAATGGACTCAGTCTATACATTTTTAAATAGATACTTCCAGCAGTATAACCCACCGGTCCAAAAACATGTGGTCAGTTCCCCAAAAATAACACTGACTTTGGTTTATTCCACAGCCGGCATCTTCTTCAAATGCTCATCCAACAAGCAGCTTAGGTATGAGATAGAACACAGAGTTCAGAACTTATTACTGCCATTTATAAAGCGCCAACATATTCTGCAGCGCTGTACAATTGGGAAAAAGACAATACAATAAGAACAGACCGATACAACAGGTAGAGGGCCCTGCCTGTGAGCTGACAATCTAAATGTTAAAATGGGGAGATGAGACAAGAGGTGGCAGAGGAATTTGTATGTGATGACAGAGAGTTAATAGTACAACTGCAGCGGCTCATAGCACGTGAAGGGAATGAGGAGGTGATTGGCTGTGGTTCCAAACAGCTGGAAGAGCATGCTATAAAGTTAGAAGGAACCAGGGTGGGCAGGAGGAGGGGAGGGTGGGTGGGTAGAGCCAGGTAACATTAAAAGGCCTTCATGCAGGGATGGATGATGATCTGGGCCTAAGGAAGAGAGATAAATGACGGTTACTTAAAATAAATTACAGCTGGGAGTGGCAATAGGGGATGGGGGGACGGAAGGGGATGAGGCAGGCCAGCCATTTGTTATAAACAAGTAAGTAATTGCCAACCAAAATTCTAAAATTATATGTGTGTCTAAAATATCACGATGTATCAAAAACCCTACGAAATGATCCCGCCATCTTGTTGGATCAGTTCCATGTGTATTTCAGGTCACTGTGGAGGCCAAAGAAGATGTTACTGAATATCTGTACCTAGTACAGTGACATATGAGTTCAATACATCTACAATTCAGAGATGCATTCCTCTTGTGAACGTTTGACAAATACATAGGGCTTATGGAGGTCAAGTATACGTTCTAGGTTCTTTCCAAGGATAGCAATACCCATCTGGGTAAGGTGAACATGCATATGGTTTGAAGGACAATGAACGAGAATGATTTCCTGTGAATGCTATGCCAGCAACTACTGTGATGACATATTCAAATCACAGAGATTTTCGGTTCCTCTTCACTGAACCAAAGTTAATTAAACAAACGTCTGCATTATAATATTTTAATTTTTTTTACATTATTGAAATACACCAAACGTGTTGGCGACAAGCAGTACAGTCTACAAGAAAACTGTTCCACTAATTTCGAAATAGCTCTTCAGTAAGATGGAACAAATAGGGTCAAAATTAGACTTTGCGTTGATACAATTCAAGCAATATGTTATAAACAGACATTCAGTTTGGTTTACTGCAGAGCAGATGGAATCTATTAATACAAAACTTGTTTGTGTGAACACATTCGTAGCGATTAATTTAAGAGGCGTGTCCTTTTCCAAAACAATAAAACTGAGCCTTTTGAGGCATCCGGTTGGTAAGAGTAATTTATTCTAAAGAAATAAGCATTCTCCACCATATCCGTCATAAAAGGTCACTGCGTCTTATCAATGAAAAAAACACAATCATATTTTTTGTAATTTTATTACTTACAACTTAAAAGTCATTCAAGACCAAGGAGGAGATGAAAAAGATTGCTTTTCAATATAAAGGCTTTGAAAGTATTTAGGGTTTTTTACATTTTATATGGTATATAGTTGTGCTCAAAAGTTTGCATACCCCGGCAGAAATGTGGAAATTTTGGCACTGATTTCGAAAATATGACTGATCATGCAAAAAAAATCATATGAAGCCATTTGTTATCACATAGTTGTTTGGCTCCTTTTTAAATCATAATGATAACAGAAATCACACAAATGGCTATGATCAAAAGTTTACATACCCTTGAATGTTTGGCTTGTTACAGACACACAAGTGATAAACACAGGTTAAAATGGCAATGAAAGGTTAATACCCCACACATGTGGCTTCTTATATTGTAATCAGTGTTTGTGTATAAATAGTCAATGAGTTTGTTAGCTCTCACGTGGATGCACTGAGCAGGCTAGATACTGAGCCATGTGGAGCAAAAAAGAACTGTCAAAAGACCAGTGTATCAAGGTAATAAAACTTTATAAAGATGGAAAAAATACATAAAAAGCTATCCAAAGCCTTAAAAATGCCAGTCAGCACTGTTCAATCCCTTATTAAGAAGCCAAAAATTCGGGGATCTCTTGATAAGCCACAGTCAGGTATATCAAGAAAGATTTCAGCCACAACTGCCAGACGAATTGTTCAGGATACAAAGAAAAACCCACAGATAACCTCAGGAGAAATACAGGTCTGGAAAAAGATAGTGTGGTTGTTTCAATGAGCACAATACGGTAAAATTTGAACAAAACTTAGCTGCATGGTCGAGTTACCAGAAAAAAAGCCTTTACTGTGCCGATGCCACAAAAAAGTCCGGATACAATATGATCTACAACACCTTGACATGCCTCACAGCTTCTGGCACACTGTAATTTGGAGTGACAAAACCAAAATAGAGCTTTATGGTCACAACCATAAGGGCTATGTTTGGAGAGGGGTCAACAAGGCCTATAGTGAAAAAAATACCATCCTCACTGTGAAGTATGGTGGTGGCTCAATGATGTTTTGGGTGGGTGTGAGCTCTAATTACCAGGAAAGGTGAAAGGATCTTAACGTGTATAGCTTGGAGGAAAGACGAGACAGGGGGGATATGATAGAAACATTTAAATACATAAAAGAAATCAACACAGTAAAGGAGGAGACCTTATTTAAAAGAAGAAAAACTACCACAACAAGAGGACATAGTCTTAAATTAGAGGGGCAAAGGTTTAAAAATAATATCAGGAAGTATTACTTTACTGAGAGGGTAGTGGATGCATGGAATAGCCTTCCAGCTGAAGTGGTAG